GTGTGTGTGTGAGAGAGAGAGAGAGAGAGAGAGAGAGAGAGAGAGAGAGAGAGAGAGAGAGAGAGAGAGAGAAGCAATGCATTTCAAAAGAGACATAAAAGTACTGTTGTGGTCAATGCCACACATAACACATTGTACAATGTCTGTCCACCATTGTGGACGTGTGGACCAAAGCGACAACCAATGAGACATTGAAAAATATTTACTATTGTCGTCAATAGCAAAGCAGAACACATTCTACGATGTGAGTAGGACGAAGACTACGCTGTACTCGGCAACTGAGTCTGGTTCATTCACGAGGCTTGCATCCCCGGACGACCTGTTCCCTCCACCCCCGACACTTCCTTGTCCTTGGAAGGTGGCCTCCCCCGGTGGAGGGGTCGTCCCCTCTCCGTCACAAGCATCCTCCGGTGTCACAGCGGTCGGAGGTGTGTGCAGTGGGGGAGCGTAAGGGGGAGTCACAGCCCCGGTGGGTGGATGGCCTGTGAAGCCCTCACCTTCGAACACCCCGCCTTCGATATCGCGCACCATTCCATTAAGGATGTAATTGGAGGGCGGTGTATGCGGCATACCGCCGGCCGCTCCTTCGATGTCCACACTTGAAAAATGTGGTGGATCGGATTGCATGCCAGGCTGTCCCGCCGATTGACCTGATGCGGCAGGACACCCCTGGTACGAGGTGGGTGAGGGACTGGGCCCGGAATGGTCCAAAGCACGCGTCACCACTTGCTGACTCTGCCTCTCTGCCATGGCCATAGCACGCATCCTCAACTGCGTCCTCAGCGAATTCTCGACTTGCCCATCAACCCCGTACCTGATGCAGGATTTGGGCTCAACTCAGATGGCAAACATCCACGTTGGGTGCCACCGCCAGCCTGCTGCGCACCCACCAATGAAGGTGTGACGTCAAAGTTCAAAGATCTGGACCGTCGTGTCGAAGCGGGACCGTCGGCGAAGGGACGACCAGGTAAAGGTCCAAAGCACTGCGACCTGGCCAACTGTGTGCCCAAAGTATCATCTTCCAATGCTTGCAATGCTGTCCCACGGAATTCTCCATTCACCCCTCCATACTGACCTGCGCAGGGAAAGGATCCAAGTCCCTGCCCACGAGGGGGCACTACTTGCGGGTCTGAGTGTGGAGTTCCAAACTGGGACTCAGAAAACGCCCAGTCCTGAATACAGGACAGTCCAGCAGGGTCATTTGTGGAACCCATTACTTGTTTGGAACAACAAGTGGAGAAGTGTGGAGTGGGACCACAACTGTCTGTTTCCAGCGATGGCGTCAACAGCAAGTAACAGCTCAGGCTGCCTATAAAGAGGAAAACGACGAATGATGGGCGCTGCGTCTCCCCCTCGTACAGTAAAACGACAAGGAAAACGACGGAATGGAATGGAGCCGTACAGTGCAAAATGCCATAAGTGGCATTCCGGTTGGAGGTTCGATAGGAGGCAGCCACCACGAGTGGCCTATTCGTTGGGTCCGCCTTCGGCCAAGCCGATCAAATGTGTACAGAGCCACACAGCCCGTTTCCACATGGGCGGACAAATGACCACCATAGGGCCTAACGGGAATGAATCTGTTGAGGATGTGGGACCAGGTACGTGAGCAGTGACCTGCACCTGTGCAACGTTGAGACCGTATTCATTTAGCCAACTTCATTATGGCGGCCGCATTGTGTGGGTGTCAGACAACCAAAAACTTTTTGTTTCGGAGAAGAGGACGGCCTCTGCGAAGTCTTGAAAACGCCCCCCCCCCCCTTTGAAGTCTGAAGAACGAGACTAAGAAACCGTGAAAACAAAAAAAAAAAAAACAATTCAAGTTCTCTTCATGAAACGGCCACCGATTGGTGGAAACTG